GAAAAGAGCACACGATGAACGTAACGCTAGAAACATAAATTCAGGTAAACATATCGGTGATTCAGGAAACGTTGCTACAATTGTGTCAGTTCTCATATCATGTAATTAATCACCCATTGTAATGGTTGCACCAGCACCGCTCAACATGACGATTTTACCTTGCCTAGTCCCTGTACGGCGTCTTTCCAAGCCCTCTCGGTCAATGCATTTCGGTGACGTATCCGAGACGAACGGCCGGGAGACGTCTAGACAATCTCGGAGTGCGCATGCGTGAGCATTTTTGCATTTTTGAAAAGTTCACACGTTCAACCGAAATATTTTATCTATAAATAACTTTGCGCGTGAATATCCTTCGCTTAAAGATTGGCACCATTACAAAAATAACTAACCTGGTTTCTGTTATTAAAGAACAAAAATATTACTTTGAATCGGAAAGAATACTACTGTATAACGTGCAAGTAATTTCTCTTTAAGTTCATTTTCAAATGAACCATTAAAATGATATTTCTTCATTGATAAAAAGATTTGAAACAGTAGTTTGTTGACATTCTACCAAATTTAGAGACCAAATTCAACAGCCTGTCTGATTAGTTTGATAAGCTTCCAAATCCAAAAATTAAATTACATAAAATATTTCGAAGTGAAATGATAACGAGAAAATTAAGGAAGCAAGCGAAAATAGAGAAACGAAAGATAGCTTTTCATATCCAATAATAAATATAAACTTATTTCTTTAAGTTTCCTTCCGATTCTTGAGAAATAATTTTTTTGCGACGCTGTTTTGCTTAGCCTACAAATAGCTTTTGAGATGAAGTAAAGTTCAAATTAGTTTAATGAGATAAATGAAAAAGGAAGGCCAAAGGACTTTCAACAATGATTCTCCATGGCTGCTGGACATCTTTCATAGGCGGAAAAGTTATTGACAGCTCGCCCGCTTCCAAAAGCTCCGCCCCAAGTGAGACAAAATGTCTCACTTCTCCGAGTTTGTCTAGGCCTCAAAAACTTTCTCGGACCACGTGACCCGAAACGCATCGGCCGAGCATAATAGTGAGGCCTAGGGACTAGGCAAGATTTTACCCTCCTCTTGCTTATTTTAGTGCAAGGGAAAAAAATGATTCTTCCTTTTAAAAGTGAATATTTCGAAGGCCAGTTACTTTTTCTTTAAATATGGATAAATGCCAGTCCAAGTTTGGTTTTGTTTGAGTTATGCTGCTCTATAATTAAGTGTAATAAGTTTGAGCTTAGAGGGCAAGAAAGTCATCGTAAGGCAACATGTCTTAGGCAGATTTAGACATGTTTACTTGGGCCCCGGTCTCTAGATTTTCTTTTGTTTTGTGTCCTCCAGAGCGATGAAAACAAAGAAACCAACCCCATCGCAACCCCCCTCCCCTTCCTTTTGTCTGAAATATTGTTCAATTTCTAAGGAATTCTCTAAAAATCTATCTTCCAGAGCCTTAATTTCATTACACAAATCGCTCACCTAGTTCTAACTGGCAGCAAAGGTCGTCGACCTTCTCTTCCTGAATTTTCTGGATTCGTCTCTTCAAGCAAGTCGCATCTCCTATCCTCGTGTAACATCTTTCCCACCCTGGGCTTTGGGGTTGTCCCACATGATATTACTTGCAAGATTTCTGGGAATTACTACCAATTAAAAACATGAATTGCATTCAAGCATTATTGTTGAAGTTCCAGAATTCTGCGATTTTCAAATCTCGCTGTTATAATCAGTGTGTTTTCTTTAATCTAACTTAATTATTGTTGTACAGTTTATACACAATTACTTTGAATGGCAAGATTGAATTTATTTGTCTATCTCAGTACTTATATGTTTGGCTGTTTTTTTTAACAGATGGCATACCATTGCTTCGACGTCCCCGTCTTCCTCCAAGAGTTCCATACTTTACTGGTCGCCAGAGGGAGTGTGATGAAATCATCGGTCATTTGTTTTCGGAATCCACCCGAATCGTGTCCATATGGGGCTCACCAGGATTCGGAAAAACATCGGTTGCCATTGCCGTAGGCCATGAAATTCAATCTAGGGGTTTGCCTGTCTTCTGGCTTTCATTGCGAGGGCTTCGATCGAAAGCAGATTTGACTTCAAAGCTTCTCAGCTTTTTTAGACAACCCTCAAAGAATACCTTTGCAGCCCAGCATTTATCTCGCGATGATGAGCTTTTTCAACTTTTTAATGAGATATCAGATGACCTCGTTTTCATTCTAGATAATGCCGATGATTTGCTGGAAAGTGGTCTGCCGAAAGTAAAGCGGGAAGAGGTAATAGAATTTCTTGAAGATATTCTCAGGCGAAACCAAAACGTCAAATTCGCTATAACCACGAGGGAATCTATTGGATTTCTGGATTTGCATCTAGAGTTTCACCAGTCTGCTGTGAGAATAAGACCACTGGAGGAAGCATCCTCGAGATCCCTTGTACACGAATTACTTCCAGACGCAAGCACCTCTGACTGCAAACGAATTACCCAAATTTGTGGACACGTACCTTTAGCTATCAAGTTGCTGTGTTCTTCCATTTCTGAGGACAGTGCTCAACCAAGCCAGTTTCTAAATGACCTCTTAGTGTCTTCCACGGAAAGCGTCGTCGAAATGTTGGACAGCTCAGGTTATCCAACGAATCATCGACTACGGTTTCTTTTTAACTCCTCCTTCGAGAGACTATGTGAACAAGAAAAAGAAGCTCTGGTGTCCTTCAGTGTTCTGCCCGAGAATTTTGATACTGAAGTTGCAGCATCAGTTTTGGGGAAAACACTAAGGCTCACGAAGAATATATTGCAAAGTTTAGAGAGGAAATCCCTTCTTGATTCAAGTCTTGAACGGCGTTCATTCAAAATGCACAAGCTTTTACAGTTATTTGCAAGAGAAAGAGGTAATAATGAAATGAAGGAAATTTTCTATTATTCAAAAAGCCGATTTCACGCATATTACCTGTCTCTCTTTAAAAAACTGAATGAGCAGTTTCTCACTGGACGTTCTATGTCGGCATTTATTGCATTCTATGAAGACAAACAAAACATTGTTCAAAGTTTAGTCGACGGATGCTCATATCCCGAAACTGCTGACCGTGTATTTGATGTGTTGGATAATGCAGAGATCTTTTTAGACTCGATTTTCTGGACTCATGCTAGTGCAACTTGTCCATTTGACTTGATTTACGATTCAGCTTTAAAGGCAGCCAGTCGTTATGACAACACTGTCTACTACAGGAGACTACTTGTTTCCAAGTCTTTTGGCCAGCTGACGTGGGGTGCGCAAGGAGGGAGTCTGAAACTCTTACGTGAAGTTGATGAGATTAGACAGGCAGCTACTGCATTTACTAGTGACGAAAAAGCAAAGTATTTGTGGTACTTTGGCATGTATCAACTTGTCATTGGGGAAACAGAAAGCGGAGTTAAGTACTTGCAGGAAGCTCTTCCTCTAATGAGCAACAGCCCTGAACATAGAATCCTCAGACTTGTCATTTTCCAAATTTTCTCTCTGTATTGGCAAGGCGCGAAAGACCCATCACATTCAAGACAATTTTACGGGAAGGCGCTCTTTGAAAGCATGGCAATTGGAGACATACAGCTACTTGTTATTCCTTCATCAGAAATGGAAACCGCAAATGAAACAAAAGGTAGAAAGATACCAAATAGATGTGCTGATACTTTGTGCAATAAGCCAATGGAAGTACAGATGATTTATCATGTATTGCAAGCATCGCAGCATCTTCCTGTTATAGGCACCAACAAATCATTACAAGACATCGTTCTCAAGATACGAGATGACGTTGAAGCAGCACTCCCTTGTGGTGAAACTGGCTTGTTCAGTTTTCACCGCGTCGTTGTTGCTGCGTTGCTAAATGTCTGTAGCAAATGTAAAGAGAAGGAAATTTTGGCCCACTCACAAACCAGTCGTGAACAGAAACCACAAGAGAAAAGCGGAAATAGCAAACATGAGACTGAGGAGGAATACTCCTCGGCATCTAGTAATAAAAACTGCAAAGATCCAGATAACGTTAAGAACAAGCAATGCATTCTGGTAAGTTCAGGAGCTCTTCAGTCACGCCAGCGTGCAACAGACATAGCCATCGAACGTTTTGGTGCTGAACACCCGAACACTGCTGACAGTTACCATACATTGGGCATCACTCAACATCTGCTAGGAGATTTTTCTTCGGCTCTTCGTTCCTTGCAAAAGGCATTAAATATTCGCCAGATGGTGTTAGGAGACGATCACTTAGGTACAGCTGATATTTATCGTTCACTTGGGGCCACATATTACCAGTTAGGTGACTTTTCTGCAGCTCTTCAGTGCAGACAGCAGGCATTGGATATTCGGCGGAAAGTTCTCGGAGAGGAACACCCAAGCTTAGTGGAGTGTTACGGTGACCTAAACTGCACACAATTTGCGCTAGGTGATTTTTCCTCAGTGGTTGAGTCTGACCAGCGTGCCCTTGAAGTTTGCATTAAAATGTTTGGAGAAGAAGACCCACGGACACCTTGCATTTTATTGTCCTTGGCGAATACACAACGCCTACTAGGAGATCTAACCACAGCTCTAGAGTATGCAGAGTGTGCGCTGTGTATCACAGTCAGATTGTTTGGCACCGAAAATGTAATCACAGCTCGTGGCTACTGTTCACTTGGAGACATACACCTTAGTCTGGAAAACCATGCTGTGGCTCGTTATTATTATCAGATGGCGCATAACATAGACGCCAGACTGTTTGGAAACGAACACGTGAACACACTCAGATACACTTACCTCCAGTGGGTACAATTCGTACAACTTGCATCAATCCATCATCTTAAACTCAATGCTATTAATTTCATCTTAGTTGGTGACTTAAACGCAGCTCTTCAAGATGCTCTGTGTGCTCTGAGCATGGACGAAAACCTGTATGGAGAAGAGCACGTAACCACAGCTGATAGTTTCTATTTACTTGGCTCGATACAATTTGAATTATTCGACTTCAACTCCTCTCTTTATTTTCACGAACGGGC